TTTCTTTACAAATAGTAAGTTAAGTTGCTCTTATTTCATGGCATATAAAAGATAGGAGAATAAAATTAAAACTGCAAAAAAAAAAGTAGTTAAAAAAGAGAAAAATTATATTGGCATGTAAGCGCACATATTACATGATTTAATCTAAATATTCACAAAATGCTGAATATAAAAGATGTAAGTGAAAATATCAGATATAAAAACGTTTTTGAATTATTTTCGATGCAATAAATTACTTAAAGATACCAACGCATTCAATAATTTCAATGTAAAATGTGAGATTGGGATTTAATGCCAATAATTTGTGTTTGATTTTTATATTTTAATATTTTTTGCATTCTATATTGACAATGTTAAACACAAATAAAAATATAATAAAAATTCTTCTTTTTAATTTAATTTAAAAAAAAAAGGAAAATTTTATTAAAAGTATTTCAAGATTTTGGAAAGCATCCGTGTTATTATTATAAAATTTAATAATAGAGAAAAAGTAAAATTGAAGTGACAAAACAAAATTACCTGTTTCTTTCCAAAATATTACGCACTTCGAACTCTAGAGCATTGTCTTTCACCAGAATTTGCTAAGGCAATTAAATAATGGTAATGAAATTCTGACTCTCTAGTAATTTCTCTTAAAGCGAAAATACGAGTTTTGGAATTTTTGGAAGTTTGTGTTGGGGATCTAAAATAGTTTTGATTATTTTTGAAAATAGACAAAATTTATTAATAATATTGTCTAATGTGGTATTGAAAAGCCTCATGTAGCATTTAAAATTGCAGTAAGGCTTACAAAGGAAATTAAAAACTAATTTTTAAGACTAATTATTATAAATATCAATGTTTTAATTTAGGTTTATATTTCCCAGGCGTGCGTAAATAGTTTTCTTTCTATATTGTATAGGAAACAAAAACTTAAAACAAACGGTAATCATTTGCTTATAGTTTTTCAAAAAAGAAACAACGGCAATCGTTTACAAAATTAAGCTTTTTGAGTCAAAAATATTTTGACTTTTCCAAGAAAAAAATTTTTTATATTGAAAATTAAAATTTCAATAAACTTTCAAAATGCTACTTCAGTAAAAAGAAGCATCTCTATAACGCTATAACACCATCTTTATAACGCTTTCTTTCGTTTTCTGAAATATAAACATTTTTTTTACAACTCCTACATCTCAAAAATTGCATACAGTACTATAAAATTCACAATTTCAAACTTCATTTCTTATATTTTTTTTAATTATTTATTTGATATTATCTTGAATGAGCGCCATTATCTCGAGTAGAGCCTACAGCTATGTCTGAACTATAGTTGACTTTGAACTTTAATCTCTTAAAACATTGGCTTTTAAAAGAATATATAGAATTTTATCCTTAATATTTTTCATCGAAAAAAAAATGCTAGAACGAAAATTGAGTACAATTAACATAAATTATATAAATTAATTTTAAACGTATGCTTATAAAAGCGCAAGCAAAATTATATTGAAAGCGAAAGCAATAATTAAGTAATAAAATTTACTAGACATATTCCATTTCACCCAGCAAAGACGTGACTAAATTACTTATCATTTTAAAATCGAAGTCTAGCAATTTTATTCAAAAAATGATGATTAACACATAATAAAAATTGGCTGATTCGTCTTACCTTGTTTTGCTCTTATAAATGTTATTAATATAGAGCACTAGGTGTTGGTTGCACAATATGCGATCAAAATAAATTATTTATTAAAACAATTTTATTCTCACACTTATTCAATTTTTCATGATTGGAAAAAATGAAACTATGCACAATGAGGTCAAATTTTGTAATTTCTGGCTACCTTTTTTTTCTTCACAATTTGTTATGCGGAAGCGATGAAAGAGCCATGAAAAGTTTATAAGCTTTCGAAATAAAACAAAAGAAATTATGCACTATATGTACATAAGCTTTTCTTATGTAAATAAATTTGATTATTATTGTAATCACGAGTAAATGCCATCGAATTCGAAGTAAATTTAAAATAATAAAATTTAACAATGTACACATTTATTTGTCTAAAAGAATATCGTAAACAATTATTTTCACCATTTACTTTGTTAGCGTATTAGTCACCATAATTTGCAAAGTATTTCAATAAATTTTATATTTTTGGAGCCTTTCGGTTATAAAATATTTTTACTCTCGTGCTACAGGATTAATATAAATTCTTTTAGATACAGTTTTAAACAAATTTATTAAATTAGAAAATAAATATTAAGAAACCTTGAAAATTCATTTTAAAAAACAAATTGCACTTATTCCAAGATTTACAGATGCACAAAAAAAAAAATAAAATTTATTTCTAGATTTATGCATAATGTGCATAATGCATATGGTTCTTCAAAATAAAATTTGCTGAAAACTGAGTGTTTTTTATACTTGTTCAAATAAAAAATTAACATAAAAGTTTTTTGAATACTGGCAGCGTATTTGAACTTCTTTGATGTATAGCTCTTCTTAGTTCGGGAATACAAAGCATCGCAACCCAAGAGGTCTAAAGCAATCCATCAAGGTTTATACCCCTTATAAATTCAATCCCTTAAGGTAACACTAAAACTACTCTCTTTCTCTAACTCACAACTTTCAGACCCAAGCATTCAAAATTGAAAATATCTACTTCTACAGTTTTTTCCTCCAAATTATTTAAACCGTTTTTTCCTCTTTTGCTTAATCCACTATTATTATTATACAAAATTCTAAACTCTTCTTTTGTTTTTATCCTTTATTGCAACTAATAAGCAAACCAATAAATTTCCTTCAATAATAATAATAATCAGATTTTTAATTATATCCAATAAATTTTATAGAAGCCCTCCTTATAATACAACAAAAATTTATAAATTTAAAACTTTTACTCTAATAATCAAAGAAAAATTGAGCGACAAACTCCACCAAAAAATTGCCATATGTCTACAAATTTTATACTGCAAAAAAATTGCAATAATAAAAATAACAATAAAAATATCTTTAGAAAGAATTGATAAAAAAATGCTCTGAAAAACTTAAGAGAGAAGGATATTCGCAAAGTAATAAATAAATTGACAAATAAATCTTTGATCGAGCATTTATACACCATAGCATCTGAAACATAAATATGGTGGTAACCTTTAATGTCAACATTATATTTTTCCACTATTATCAAGTTCAATTCTTTTCATCGGAGGAATTAAAAAAAAAACTAAACGTATTGCACATACAAACCCATTGTTTATAAAATGAACTCTTTTATTCTTATCGATGTTGTAAATTTCATTTTTTTATTTCCATTATATTAAGATATTTTAATTCAGTAAAATTCAGTTCTCTGATAATATAAACTGAAAATATTTGGCGGTTCGCCTTCATAAAAAACAAATAAAATCTTGAAGTGCTCAATTAAGGTACCGATTGTGACGTCAACAGATGATTCTTAGAAATTAAAATAAATTGTGTATTCAACAATGAACTTCTGACATTCAATTTATGGAAAACTACCCAAATCTCGAATAAATAAATTTCGAGCAACTTTTATTCTTTCGTTTATATCCTTGGAGGTACACTGTACCTCAAATTGATGACATATTTACCGAATACATATAGGAATAAAAGAGCTAAATTCGGATTATGGGTAAAGGTGATATGATGAATTTGAAATTTTGGTAGCAGTTTGTGTTTGAATTTAAATGATATTAAGACTCAGCGTCTTATATAATATACTTTTTTTTTCGCATAATGCTTTAACCAATGTAAATCGAAATTCATGCGCATATTTATAAAATTATTATAAGCAAAAAAATGTTAAATTAAGTTTTCGAATAACCTTTAGTCGTTAATGCAGATGGAAAACCCTCGCCAATCAGAAGAACAATTTCGATATCAATAAGAAATATTTTTGTTGTTCCTTTCTGTCGAACGATGAATACAAACAAGAAATAATAAAGTTGGGTCAAACCAATGGTTTGTATTGTAGCACTTTTCCCTTCAACAAGTGAAAATTCTGCTTTTAAATACAGTCTATGTATACCTATCACACTATTAAAATTATTTTCATTCATATACAAAGCTATTTCTAGGATTGCATATATTTAGGATGATGCATATATGCAGTCTTTAAAATAAAGCAAAAATTAATATAAAGAGGGGTTAACATAATCCTCGATTTTAAGGATTAATTGTGGAGTTTTGATCAAGTAGTCGTTGAGTACAGACGTGAAAACTAGAAGAAAAATTTAAACACATCACATACTTTTTAATTTAACTCTAATCGTTAGCTTATAAAAACATTAAAAAAAGAAGAAGTATATGTCCTATATACTTTAAAAAAATATTTATAACTTAATTTATTAGTTGTAATAAAGAACCATTTAGGAATTGTGCAATATACATTCTGATTGCATTTATGCAATCAGATTCAGCGCAAAGCTCTATAAAAAATAATATTGATAAAAATGTGACTGTAAGTGACATAATAAATGAAAAAATATATAAAATTGCTAATAAACCAAATTTAAAAACCATGTCACATGTGAAAAAAAAAGTACCAAAGGTGGTATCTAAAAAACAATATGATAATTTGGTAAATCAATATGACAAATTAAAAGTTGAATTTGAGAAACTTAAAAATTTTATACGTGCATCAAATAATAATAAAGGCGATTTGTCTGAGGACCACGTTGTGCAAAATACTTCACAGAACAAATTTCAACCTTTAATGGACATTGAAGGTGAAGAAGATCACATTGAAAGTATTAATATTGCTACAGAAGGCAATAATGATAAAAACGGTTTCACTAACTATATTGAAGTATTGAAACAAAAAAATAGAGAAAAAAAACAAAATAAAAAATCAAGCACTTCTGGTGTTGGCAATAATTTGAATGTTCATGAAAATTCCATTAATTCACTAAATTTAAATTACCAAAATGGTAATAATGTACCTAAAAACAATATTAATATCACAACAAACAATAATAAAAATGTATCACACTTAAATAAATCTAGAATGCCACCAATTAATTTATATAATACAGATGTGGTATACTTGAAAAAATCCATAAAAAATGATTTAAAAATTGATAATTTTCTGGTCAAAGAACTTAATGATAACCACGCGGTAATTTACACTAAAAGCTTAGTAGATTACAAAAACATTTGTGACATGCTTACAAAAACTGAGGCTAATTACTATACATATACACCTAAAGAAGAAAAAAAAATAACACTCATTCTTAAAGGTATTAATAAAAATTATAATTGTGATGATATTTTGCATTGCTTAAAAACAAAAGAGAATGAGAGTTTAAAGTTTGAAAAAGTTACCCAATTAGCAACTAAAAGATCAATCACACAAAATATTAGTTTACCATACTATATTGTACAGGCTTCGCCTAATAGTTCAATAAATGCTATTAAAAATATAAAAGAAATTGATAATAGTATTGTTACTTGGGAAAATATTAGAAGAAAACCTATACAACAATGTACAAGATGCCAGAGATTCTCTCACACAGCATCCAACTGCCACATGGACTATAGGTGTGTTAAATGTGGAGAGAGTCATAAAATTGGAGAGTGCAAAATTACAAGCGAAGACGGAAGAGACAAATTATATTGTACTCTGTGCAAACAGCATGGTCATCCATCATCATACAAAAACTGCACTGAGTATAAAAGGCGAATGCAAATTAAAGAAGAAATGAAAAATAGAATAAAACAAAACATTTCTCAGAGACACATGAGTTATAACAACTATGTACAAACAGGTATATCTTATTCTAATGCTGTTAGAAGCAATAATATAAATAATAATAATTATAACAACTATGTACAAACAGGTATATCTTATTCTAATGCTGCTAGAAGCAATAATGTAAATAATAATAATTTTGTTAGTAAAAGTTACAATGAAAATACTCGTAACATTAACAATATAGATAATAATAATTCTATTAATAAAATACTGGAAGAATTGCGAAATATGCAACAAAATTTTAATAAATTTGAAAAGCAATTGAGTGAACATTCCGTAATGATCGCTCAAATTATGAATTGGTATGGCATATTACCTAGTCATTAGTAATGGTTAATGGAAGTATGAATATTAATAGTATAAATTTAATTTCGATTAATGTTAATTCATTAGTATCATATAGTAAAAGATATTCTTTATTGCATTTTATAGAGAAAAATGACCCTGATATTTTGTGTTTAAATGAAACAAAATTACAATCAAAACATTATTTAGAAATAGATAATTACAATATAGTTAGAAGGGATCGTAAATACGATTCAAATGGTGGTGGTACAGCCATTTGTATTAAGAAAGGCTTAGCTTATGAAATTGTAGAAAATTTGAAATTTGATAGATTTGAATGCATAGAACCTTGCATAGTAAAACTTAATATAGGGAATAGAAAAAATCTGTACATTATAGCTATTTATGCCCCCAATGGTTCTAACAACAAATTTATTGAGGAGTTTGAAACTTTATTTTCTACGCTTAATTTAAATTGCTTAAATAATCTTTATGTTATTGCTGGTGATCTAAATGCTAAACATTCGTCTTGGCGTAATGAAAATATAAATAATAGAGGAACAAAATTACATAAATGGCTAAATTCAAATAAAATAATTTATAAATGTGCGCTTTACCATTCAGATACACCAACGTTTCCAAGATCAGGTGCTTTTATAGATTTAGTTTTTGCAGATGCTAGATTAAACACAATTAATCCTGATATGAATAGTTTAATAACAATACCGTACGATAGTGATCACAATGCTATCAAATTTAAATTTTCTGTAGCTATTCAAAGTATAGAGGTTGATACTAATAAGAGATATTGCTTTCACAAAACAAATTGGGAAAAGTTTCGCCAGTATCTAGATGTTAATTTTAACTTAGAATATATTGATAACATAAATAAAATAAGAGATAATATTAATATCGATATTTCAAATATTAATAATCATTTATTAGAAATTGAAAATATAATTAAAAAAACTATGAAAGAAGTAATCCCTTCAACCGTAAAGAAAAATCATTTAAAAAACTTTGAGTCAGTAAAATTAAAAAAGTTATGTAAAATGAAAAATAAATTATTAGGCGATATACATAGAATTTACAGCCAAAACCTAGATTTCACATCGTCAGAAATAACGTTATTAAGAAGTTTGTTACGAAACATAAAATGTCTGATTAAGCAGCAAATAAACATAGAAGTAGATAGGTATTGGACAAATAGGATACAAAATATTCAAACAAGTAACCGAAATATGTTTCCTGAAATTAAAAAAATTTTTTATTCTAAACAGGATCAGAAAATATCGAGTTTAAACATTGATACTGAGTCGTGCAATTTGCTTTACCAAAACAATATAGATATTAATTCACTTGAAAAAACTATTACAGATAAATATATAATTAGCACACCATTAAATATTTATAAGATTTTAGGATCTCATTTAGAAAATACCCATAAGAATATAGGCACTATTGATAATAATTTTCATAGAAGAGTTAAAGATCGCGTCAAAGAGTTTAAAGAAATCAAAGTTAGGAAACAAGATAACAACATTACTATTAGTAATTTTAATGATTCAAACAAATCTTCAGAACAAAATGATAGTGAGTATTTTATAACTTTTTCAGATTTAAATTCGAAATTAAGGAGTCTTAAAAATAAAACATCGTCAGGGATAGATGAAATACCTAATATAGTTTTAAAAAATTTAAGCCCGAAAATCATTTCACAATATGTTATTTTATTTAATAATGCATTGAACTACTGCTATTTTCCATCTATATGGAAAAAAGCGAAGGTTGTGATGCTAAAAAAACCAGGAAAAGACCCAAAGGATGTTAATAGTTATAGACCTATAAGTTTGCTTCCTAACATAAGTAAGATATATGAAATGATTATTAATGACAAGATCGTTCAAATTGTAGATGATAGGCGGCTTTTGCCCGAAAACCAATTTGGGTTTAGGCATAAGCATAGCACAGTTCATGCCATAACGAAACTAACATCTGATATATGTTGGTTCATAAACCAGAAGTATGGTGTAGGGGCTTGTCTGATAGACTTTGAAAAAGCATTTAACAATATCTGGATTGAAGGATTAATTTTTAAACTAATAGAATATGAATTTCCCGAGAGGCTTATTAGTATAATTGTCGATATGACATCTAATCATGAATTTGTAATAGCTAACGATTCGAATTTATGCAAACAAATTTTTAGGATAGAAAATGGACTGCAACAGGGCACCATAAACTCTCCTATTCTATTCTCAATCTACATAATTGAGTTGCTAGAAATGCTAGGACATGTAAAAGGAAATAGTTATTCACTAGCCTTTGCAGATGACATTATACTATATTCTGCAGATAATACGGTTGAGAAAATTCAAAATAGAGTTCAAAAAATGTTTAATCTAACAAAAGACTATAGCAAAGTATGGGCTCTAAAGATTAATTTTAATAAATGCGAAACTATACTTTTTCGCAACACAATTGATAAAGTTAATTTTAATATCAAGAAAAAATGGAAAAATTTTAGAATAAAAGTTGATAATAATAATTTATTAGAAAACAAAAAGACAGTTAAATATTTAGGCGTTCACCTACATCGAAATCTTAACTACATTGTTCATATAAAAAAAATAGTTGAAAAAGCAAATAAAGCATTTATGGCATCGAGGCGATTATTTTATTGCAAAAATGTTAGTAATAGAGTAAAAACTATTTCTTACCTTACATTAATCAGACCAATAATGACGTATGCTGCACCGATTTGGTATAATGTGAGCGCAAGTCTCATGGAAAAACTTAGAGTGTTCGAAAGAAAATGTATTAGGATTTGTATCGGGATAAATCGCAAACCTGAAACTGACTACCAGCACTATTTTTCTAATAAATATATTTATAAAGTAGCCAATATTAATAGGATAGATAATTTTTTAATAAAACTAATTCGAAGACATTTTGACAGGGCATTGAAAACTCCTGAAAATGGTCTAATATCAAATATATTTTACCACAATATGGAGTATATTAAAGAAAGTTTAATAACGGGTTTCATTGCGCCCGAACATTTTATATACTTAGACAATAAGGGTTATATCCAAGATAGCGCGCATGTCCCTATATTATATCATTATAATAGACGGGCTACATGCAAAACCATAGATTATAACCCATCCTGTTTGAGTTATAGTAATCTAAAATTTGATATGAGTATACCTATTAGGGATACGTTCATTAACAGGGGTTACTGGTGGCTAGAAGAACAACTTTAAACAATGAAATACTGTGTGCGAGACGTACTTCCAGTATTTTCTCTTTAATTTAAGCTTAGTTTAAGTTAGGATAGGGTTTTTATTTTATTAAAAAATAATTAATTTTAGGTTTTTTTACAAAAACAATTTTCCTAAAATAAAAAAAAAAAAGAAATTATTGTAATTAATAATCATTTTAATGAACTAACAATCCTCTAATACATTACAGAATACAACTAGCTACAAGAAAACAATAAGTTTTTAAGTTAGTTATACCAATTTTTTTTTTTATGTAAATAAATTTTTTTTTTTAAACTTTTTTGTTATATAGTTAATAAGAAGAAAATGGATTAAATAAAGTTTACAAACAAAAAAAAAAAAAAAAAAGGATTAATTGTGTGAGTTAAGAAAAATAATTATATTTTTAATTATAATAGAAAAATAAGAAATTTGAACAAGCTTGCGGTTTTGCAAATATAAATTGCCAAATATTTAAATTTTACAAATTTCGAGAGGCGATAACTCTTTATAAATGTTTAAAAGCTGTTAAAATTTCAGAATGGTACAACTTGGGGTTTAGGAGAAAAACGGCATCAAAAATTTGGAAAAAACGGATTTTAGATAACGGTAAATTTGAACGGGCATTTTGTTTTTTTAAAGTTCACATATAGTACGTTGCGATAGAAGAAGCAACCCACTGCTTTTCTGCGTTTGCAAAATGTAAAAAATGCTTATGGCAACAAATAGTTGAATAATGGTATTTTTAGGGTTTTGGGGGGATATAATTTTTAGAGGGGGGAGATAGGTAAAATTTTGTTCTACGGAAGTAAGTTTCTAGTAAAGATCTATGTACGTATTAAATTTCAGCTTTCTATCTTCAAGGGTGTAGAAGTTTTGTAAACAGACACACGAACAGACGGACGAATGGACGGACAGAGTGAAACTAATGAGCACTTATTTTCAAAAATTTTTTGGAAAATTGCTAAAACAAAGTTTTTAAAATATTTTAAGTTTTCTTGAACTTTAAATTTTTCTCATTTGTTTTTTTTTCTCATTATTTGCTCCTATTGTTTTACAATACAATTTTGGTTTTAGTTTTTTATAGCGTTCAATTACCATGTTTTGATCTTTTAATGTCTTTGATATGAATTTTAATAGTCGTAACTATGACTACACAATACACTATATTTCCAAATCAGGATTTATAGAACAATATATGTAAGTGAAATACTGGCCAGAAATTTGTATACAAGACAGCCGACTCTTAATTAACAAAGATAAATGAAGAAGATACATTTCAATCCCTTATAGTGCTACAATTTACAAAAAATAGTCAAATTAATTCCTTTATCAAATTGTATTGAAGCTTCAATCTTCTCAAATGAAATTAATGGCACATACTTATGAACATGGGCGCATTTTATTACTCGTATGTTGCATTATAGAAACCAATCTTTAAATTTCCGTATTTAAAGTAAACGTAACGAATATCAACCTACCTTTATCTTAAAGTTCATATATAGCCAAAGAAAAATTTGCAATAAGGTTCATAAATCAAATTAAATTGCAACATAATCCCATTTTTTAATTTTTTTTTATTTTTTGATTCAATAGATATAAGAAATATGAGTTTTGCCTTAAAACTATTAAAATTAATTTAAAAAATTTTCATATTTTATTTTATATTCAATAAAATCACTTCAATACTTAAAATATTATTCTATTGTTTATATAACACTCTATTATAGTTCATCCTTTCTCTTCAAGGATTTTCACAATTTAATAGTAAAACAATGTAACAATTATTTTAATAAATTTTTCTTATTTTTCTTTCAATTTTTATTTGAAATTTATGCTCATAAAATTTGAAACTTTCATCATCATATTTTTACATTTCGCTTTGTTATGCCTTACTATTACTGCTATGCTAATACTAAAACAAAAAAAAACAAGAAAAGAAAAAGAACAATTTAAGCAATCACAAACGATAACTTTTATACATTTAATTTTTTTTGTGTTTTTTTTTTCAATTTCCTTTAGCAGTGTTATCTTCTCTCTATCACTTAAAATGCTTTGCTACTATAATCATCATATGAAATATAGAAGTAATAATACCTTTTCTATAGAGAAAAAAAGTGAGAGCAAAAAAAATGTCTACCTATATTTTTTTCTGCATATAGAGGGTTATTTATTTGTCACTTATTATCCTAATTTAAGAAAATAAAATTTGAAAATCGAGTAAAAAATTTTTATATAACTGGAAAACAAATATAGAGTTAATAGTCACATTAAATTAAGAACAAAGGACGATATTTCCTTGAAAGAAATAAAAACTAACAACAAAAGGAAAGTATGTAGATTAAAATAGAAAGTTTTTATAGATAGCTATTTTTGCTATTTAAACTATTTAAATTTACTTCATATTGAAAATATTGTTAAAAGCAATACAGAAAACTACAAGGTCGGTCTTGAAAAATTCAATAAAGTTAAGAGAAATGAGGCAATAAGCTTAGATGAAATCATTGTGGAAAATTAAGGATATTCAATTTAAATAACAGATTTGCAAGATTCAATATACTTATAACATTTTAAATTTGAAAGATTCTCAAGAAAAAATGGAGAAAAAATGATCACGAACGCAACCTGATGAGTAAATTGCTACATCAAACAGCAATGTGTATCATTACTATATTTTTAATCCTATGTTCTTGCACCGACATGATATCGATTGATTATTATTTAATTTTCTTATGGCAGTCAAATAGTTTTACTTTCAAATTCATTCTAAATATTTAAATGCAATTAAATAACAAAGTGCGTTGTTGAGGATTTTTATGTGTACTGGTCACACACGAAACTAGAGCTGGATATCTACGGTATCATGCTTCTTAAAAATAGCAAAATAACTATTATACAAAATAATATTATACAAACCAATTCTGTTAAATGTGACCTTATATATTCTTTGATAGTTGAAAAACAGTCTAAAATTTTGAACTCCTTTTGATTTTATCTAGACTTTCAAAATACGTAAATATTAAAAACACTTCTCATAATTAATGTAAATACAGGAATACAAAAAGAAGTACAATGTGGACTTGCAAATCTTTTAAATGAAAATAACCAAAGTTTTTGAACTGAAGCCAATCACAATGATCTCAATATCAACGATCGCCCTATAAAGACAACAATATTTTTACTTTTTCCTTTTTTTTATCATTTTATTTGCTTTCTTTTTCTTCAATTTTCTTTCTCGTTTTTTCTTTTTCTGTTCTTTTTACCAACATTTTATCCTTTTTATTGTCCATAAATTCTGAAAAAAATTGCCAGCACAGGTGCTATCTATGGTTTTTCATTTTTATAAGATTGCCGCGATAAATATTTTTTTATTCGATAAAAAAAAGCAAAACAACAAAAGACAACAAAGGATATTTATAACAAAAAAAAAAACCAAGAAAAAAAAAATGATATTGTTTTTATCGTATTAATTTTTTATTGCTCTTTTTTTTTGTTTTTGTGTTTACTGAAGCTCTCGTTTGTTCTTATGTATAATATTCATGTATTAAAATTTCTCACATAAATTTACATCAGAATAACTTTAACTGCTACCGTACACAATGAATTTTTTCTTTTTTTTTTTACATAATCGAAAAAAAAAATGTTATAAAAAAATTTATGAATATTGAAGAAGAGTTTTTTCTGACAAAAAATGTATAAATTCTTTTAAATAAGCCGATTTTAACACGAGTTCTGTGAAAGTGACAATCCTTAATATTGTAAGTTTGTCAGTCAAATTGTAATTAAAACACACAATACATTTATCCTTATAATATTCGTGTACATATGTAGATATCTTATATATAGCATTCAATTATGTATACCTATAACATTTACATAAATTAAATGATTTTATCTTGTGGTATTTGCTCAATAATTGGTGTCACATTTGTGCATATTAAATTCAAATTATTTTACAATGAGGCTTGATAGTTATGAATGGCACAACAACATTAGAGTTTTTCTTGCCACTCGTAGCGTCCTACAGATTTTAGATTTCCCTATATGAATTTAAATGGATTTATTAAATTTATAAAAATTGACACTGAATTAATTTCCTAATGTTCTTTAAATTATATTGAGTAATAAGATTTTTAAATTATTTCTTTAAATTTCATATACAAAATTTTTGTAAAAAATTAAAAAATATTACGTGAAGCAGATCTGATGTTAAAGAAATCTTACTGTTATTTTGCCCCAAAAAAAGAACAACCTCGTTTTAAGTATACCTTGAAAAACACATTTTAAATTTCATTCTACATTTTGAAAATATACTCCAAATATTGTGTTCAGATTCAGCAACTTCGGTTTACACAAATTTATTGGTAAACTGAAAAATGATCGTGATAAATAATTGCAGCTCTTACAAGTGAAAATGCAGCTAATTTCAACAATTGCAGCGGATTTGCTTACTTAACTTATTTGATAATTTGAAATTCAAAAGGAAATTTAAAAATTTTTATACATACTTAATAAGTTTTATGCTATGCAATATATCCAAAAATATAAAAAAAAGTATTTTCCTCTTTCGATGCTAAAAGGCTTCCATTGTCAGTTTTTAGTTTTATTCATCATTTTCACTTTCCAATAGGAGAGCGACTAGCCTGCCATCTGTAGAATTTTGTAAAGTACGCTTTTTACGCGAAATTTCGTTGAAGATCATCGGCAATATGTTTTGAAAATTTTTCAGCAGCAAAGGGTATTTTAAATTTTAATGTTATGTTAGTGGATTTCTTTTGTATTCTAATGCATCACTCCTAGTGGTCGGAAGTTGACTTTTTTTTAATTTTGAAAAATTTATATGTTTTTTAATATTTAATTAAAATTTTTTAAATATATTTGAAGCAACGAAAATAAACTGTAGCTTCAAATCAATTATAAGCTTGTAAAATATCAGTCATTTAGTGTAACAGTGCACACTAGAAATTTAAATTTTGGTAAACGTTAACAAGCTTAACTTTTCATTCAGCTATAATGTTTAAAGATGAATATCTGAAACAAGATTTATTGCTTGTATAAGTAAATACATAATGTTTGTGTGCCTGTAAACGAAGAAACGATTCTTAGATAGCGACAATATTATTTATTTTTTATTTTTACTTTTTTTTATATTTTGCTCTTATTAAAAACTTTTGCTCTTATGGCATAGTGTCCTTATAATACAATTTAGTTCATAAATTTCTTTTTCATTTTGTATCATTTCTGTATTCCTCTTTCTGTTACTTATATTAGATTTTTGATAATCATATGTCCATGAAAAATTTCATAATAAAACACACATTCGTACACATATGATTATAAATGGTTATTCATGTAGACAAATCGTTCGGATGTCTTTCATTCTTTTCTTTAATTTTTTTGGACTAAAGACAATATTGCGATGGATATAATATGATAATGATCCATAGAGTATTTACAATGTGTAGATAGTGATGATGGTGATGAAAATGATTATAGTGAATAATCATAATGATGATTATGTTTATGGTTATTATTATGCTTTATAATAGTTACTGACGTGCCATTATAATGATTCCTAATATTGAAGAGATTAGAATTTGTATAAGATAATTTTGATTAGTAAATGATAACTGTTTTGAAGTTGTTTCAATTATGTTACAATGTTTAAGTTTTGCAACTTCTATGTATTTAAGGATTAAAAGTTCAGTTGTTTGGTTTTTGATAATATACGTACATACATACAGGGTGATTCTGATAAATTTGATAAATTAGTTATACTACAACATATATCACTGTTTAGAAGGTCGAGAATGGGAAAAACTTTTGTTCCGGACTGGGTACCAAATCTCAAGGGTTTCCGAGTTCCAAGGATTTTAACGAATTTTCACGAAATTTTTACTTACCCAGGTTTTTTTGATTGTAAAAAGGCTTAGTAAAGGACTTAAAATAGACGTGCTACTTGATTCTGTATTTTATGTACCTTCGGAATCCCAAGTATTCGAACTTTAAAGAAAATATAAAATCTTTCTCTTGATTTTTTCACTGTTTTCGTAAGAAATTTTTTAAAACCTTGAAATTTTTTTTATAGAATTTTGCCCAGCTGCTTGAGTCTTCAAACATTAGAAAAAATTTTTGTGGTACAGAAAATGTAGCACAAAAACCATTTCAATGTTAAGATTTTAAAGACCCTAAAGGTAAGAATTTTAAGTGTTGTAATTATCAACTTTCATTAATTTTTGGTGATAATAGCCAATCAAAAAAACAGTTGGCATTCTTAAGAGCCTTTATTTTGATAAAAAATCTGAATTTTAATGTTTTTATTGAAAAGTAACAAGTAATAAAAAAATTGGAACGAAATTTTATACAAACTTTTTATTTGGAAAAAGAAAAATTGATTTTAAAAAATTTGAAATTTTGAAAAGAAAAAACAAAAAAAAAATCTAGTAATCAAAAATTTTTTTTCGAAACTTTTCTTGGTAAAAAAAATGATAGGTTTTTAATTTTTGCCAATTTTTGTAAGAAATGGTACCTATATGGTTTGGAATTTTTAAATGCATTTTTCTCAGATTGGCTGCAATTTAAAAATTTGAAAAAAAATGTTTTTGAAATCTAGACACCATTTGGCATCTGAAGATATTAAAATTAACCAGCTGGAGCGAATTTTTGAAGACATGCCATACAAATTTTGGCATTTATTTTAATAGAAAAAATTTATTTTAATAGGAAAATTTAATTTTTTTGCGCGCAAAATGGAGTTGGTAGATGATATGGTATTAAAATTATGACGTCAATAATAATTTAAATGAATTTATAAATTTTAGACAAATGACTAATAAAACTTAAATTGGTGTACCGTTGAAGTTAAAAAAACATATTTGAAAGAAGAAAATTGAAAGAAGAATTTCATTAGAAATTTGGTGTTTGAAATTTGTAAGATTTTTGGCTGAGGAATCTGTATTTTCCAAATTTTTTGATAAGGGAATATTAAATTGAATTTAATTTTAGTTTTATCAACATCTGGTTTGATTTTAATTGGATTTGAAGCACTTAATATTTTTTTTTTTTTGTCTACATCTTCTACAACATATGTAAAAAATTTTTATGTTACAGAGCTGGGAAAAATTCTATGAAACTGAAAAAATAAAACAAGAGAAAAATTTGATTTTCCCTAAAGTTCGAATGCTTAGTATTCCGAAGGTACATAAACTGTTGAGATTTGTTACCCAGTCCCGAACAAAAGTTTTACCCATTTTCGATCTTTTTACCAATGGTATATATGTTGTTGAATAACTTTCAGAATCACCCTGTAATTTTATTTTTTTCGTATTTAGAAAAAATTTAGAATTTTCAGAAGTAGTTTTTCAGTAAACGCAGTCTTATAATATAATTCAGTAATAATTTTCATACTGCATAATTTACTAATGTTAAGGATGTGAAACAAAGATACAAAAATTTGCTTTGTCTAGATAGGCATAGGGTAGGAATTCGACTTTGTACATAAACCATCTTTTTAATTAAATTAAAGTTTGAAATAATTTTAACATGCGACAGAACCATTTTGGAATAAGATTTCGAAAATTTATTGAAAACTAAATTTTCGGCCAATGTTTTTTCTGAGTAGTTTGCTTCAATAAACTTTGACGAAAAGATCTCCTCATGCCAAAATACCTTATTCCAATTGAGCTGGCCATCTAACCATTATGTTAGTGCCAAATTTGTGAAATATTTTAATATTCTTCCGTAAATAACCAATCCCTAAAATATAAGAAAAGTTTTGCATTGTAAATATTGAAATTATGCTAATTTTTGATTTAAATTTTGAAAATGTGTCTACACTATTTCAGAAATTGTTCTTTAAATTCGATTAAATTGAAAATTGGTATCAGTTTTTCAACGATTATTGGTAATTTAATTTTTTATTTTACACCTATCGTAAAATATCACAATGTAATGCAAACTAGTTCATATTGTTGTTATTATTAGTTTTACTTTGTCCGGCAATTCATCTGTAAGCTTACAAAACTTTCACACTCTTTACCCTTAAAATATTATATATACGAAAATAGATCTTTACTAGAAACTTATTTCTTTAAAAGAAAATTTTTTTCTCTTGCACTTTTTGGAAGTTAATTGTATCGAAACCACGAACGTTTCTCTTACCAGGGTTATGTTAAAAGTAGTTACTTTTTTAAAGTCTGCTGCTTTATGTTATTTTTAATAGGAAAAATTAAACTATCATTTTTTTCATAGCCATTAATGTTGACTAAATTATACTAGAAGTCTGAAGTTCTAGCATAATTCAACTACTAACATATAAAATTTATTTAGTTTCATTTTTCTAATTCTAAATGTATAGAATAATTTGAAATACATGTTTTGTTTAATTAATGAAAGCAATTTAAATATCTTGCAGATATTTTTTAAAACAATTTTTACCTCTTTAAGAGAAAAGCGCTACTTTACTGAGCAATAGTTTCATCCGAATTTATTATCCAATTCATTTTATGTGTAAGTTTTAGTATAGGTTGTTTTTCTTTCAAATGTTAAGGTTGAAAGAGTTTCGAAATGAAGTTGAGCTTTGTTGAAAAAAGTTTTGTTTTTTATTACAGTCCAAAATACGAAATCTTTTACCTCTTCGAATCCCATATACCCGATGATTTCCGGTTTTGATAACATTCAAAGATGTTTTATATTTTAATGTACATAACATACAGTTGAAAATGGGCAAAACAATCAGTGGTCGGTTGCAATCGTTATTTTCGAAATTAATGGTGCTATTACATAGCTTAAGGTCACGAAGACAATTTAAAATTCTAAAAAATATTTCAAACGTCACTTTTATCAGAACGCGCGTTACGTGTGTAACAATTTGTATGTAATATTATTCAATAAAAAGCTTAAACTAAATTCCACTATAGTTTTCCAAGTTTAATGATTATTATTATAATTTTATGGTTATCGTTTATACCCTTCTACTACTTTCTAATTATTTTTTTCTTGATTAAAATTTATTACTATCAATTAAATACATTCAACAATAATTATTTATTCTGCAGTATACGAATAATGTATTATGATTATATGATCATATATACCTACAGCAGAATACATTCATTATAATTACATACTATAAATTGTTGCTTTTTTTTTTTGTAAGAGTCCATGGGCATTTCTTCGATATTAATTGACATACAAACACATTGTCTTATTGCCTTTTATTTTTATATCCTTATTTTAACCCCATTTTCTACAATAATAATGTATAACTGTAAAATACAACAATATAATAAAGGGATATTTCTCTATTATATACCACATAGTTTCTATTTAAAGATTGATATGTGATTATGACTTTAATAAATTGGCCGATATTTTAAAAATAAAATATACAATGATAACACACACCAAAAAATGAAATTCTATTTGAGTATAGCAATAACAATAAAAAAAATTGAATAACACACAAAAAAATGGACAAAGCTATTGGTTATATTCATAGTTACTCACAGACAGAGTGACACGAATAAATTGAATTAGTTAATTTAAATGTGCATTGGTATTCGACTTATTTAGAGTAAAAATTAAGTCATTCTTTGCTAAATTGTTGTCTATGGTGTTACAAGGAATTTCTTTATTATAATATTTTTAACGATCAATCAAAAGAGGCACTCAATTGTGAAATTTTGTACAGTTTATAAAAGTCTTAAATATTTTGAAAACAATAAAATAGAGAATTTTGTTATTCTAATAAAAGATCGAACGTTTGCTTTCATGAAATTTAAAGTAATGGCTAGTTCAATTTTAATACGTATTATCCTTTTGGTTGGTTGTTCAACAATCGCTATTCTATTAGAAATCTGCAAAGTTAAATTCATTATGAATATAATCAATATTTTCAAAATAATCCAAGATTCCAAAATGTTGTGTGCAATATTCAAGATTCCAAATAATGTGCAAATTATATCAAATATCAAAATAATATAATACCAAAACTCTTTATGCAAAAATTTATGATTCCATAGATAATTGGCGTACTATCAGTTTTCATCTATATCGTTCATCTATATTTGTGAATTTTTATCTAGTATGTGATTTTAAACGCATCTACAACGGATGTTAATTGATCACTATTTAAAAAAAAAACTATTTATTTTATTTGAAATTTTACTAATTTGACTAAGTACTTAAATGATCTAATTTAATTTGCCCACCCTGTATATTTGTGTATACATATACTAAAAAATAAACCAGAAATATAAAAAAATATATGGAGAAAACGTAAAGAAACAATTGACCCAGAAGAAAAACTTATACTTTGTGTGTATTCGTACGTATATGCATAGAAGTAAATATCAAAACCACAGATTAGGTTAATGCTATTACAATCGAATACACACACAAGTACACTTTACATAAAATATAATATTAAAGGTTTAAGTATTTTATACAAAAAGAAAAATGGAGGAAAACAAACAGTGGTTTAAAAAGTTCGAATGTTCGTTTTGTTATTTTATATCCCTTTTCCAATGGCTTCCGTTTCTTTAGCATATCATTTCACATCATTTAGATTAATTACGATTAATTTGTCTTAATTTAGTTAAAAAAAAGTACGATATGGCTTTTTTCGAATCAAATTACATTTTATTGGGTTTATTATATAGAGACGTTAATAATGCTTATACTTATAATGCCACAAAATGAACATATGAATACGGAAAAAACCTTATTTACTTTCAGAAAAGTCTGCAAATTTAAGTGAAAAGTTTTTTTGTTTTTTTTTTGTTATGATGTTTTTATAATATTATTGCGATTATTACGGTTTACTTGACACTCGATTAAAATTTCTTTGCAAAATACTAACGAATGTTGTATAGATTTTATATCTGTAAACAAACCGTTAAAAATATCTTAATTAGGTTAGTCAATTTAATAGACTTGAGAGTAATTACGTAATAAAGAGTAATTTTTTTTCAAAAACTACGCGTTCACCTGCGAACTTAAAATAGTAATCGCCTTTATCATTGATTTAACAACAAACCAGAATCAAAGTTTGAAAATTAAATAGATTATTATGAAAAGCTCTATTGCGTCTTCCATTTTCATTCGATTTTACACATTTTGTATTTTCTAAGCCGTTAGTTTCTCCAATTATTCACGGATTTTTTTTTTAAATTTTTAAAATGAAACATTGTCTCATTTCTTCAAATTAATGTAGATTAATTCAATAACTCCACTAATGTTATTAACTTTTAATCAGGAATTCGGGTTTAAAATAACTAGAAGTAGTCGTTTGTCTTAACCCTTTTTTGAAATTTCGACTAGTTACAAAATATCCGAGACTATAGCTTGCATCTTTTGGTTTACGTTTATATTCAAGTATTGTCGAACATGCTAAAAGATTTTCGTGCACAAAATACTCAAAGGCTGCAATATTTTATTACATAATATCAACAAAATTGGAATAAAAAAATCAAAAAATTTTATAAAAATATTTCTTTTATACAAGAAAAAAAATAAAAATTAATACAAAAAATATATTAGAATTCTTTAATAAATAATATTAAAAAAAAAAATAAAAAAATATCCTTTAAAAATTCACCATGCTTTAAAAAAAGCTCAAATATAAATTTTAAAAATTTCTACCTAAATTCTAGTAACACAATTACAACAAAATAATAACACAATTAAAATTATATAAAAAAAGAGAATAATTTACAAATAAAAAATACGAAATTTATTATTTTTCGAATTTCTAAATTTTACTGCTCTTTCCCTTTTATATGACATTGAACGTTGTTGTCTAACTGGTGAATGGCCTTTACCTATTTGTTTTATAAAATTCTCACCTCTATAACCATATCGTCTCTGGTAATAAGGACGCCAAGCATGCCCAAAATTTGGATCAAATTCTATTTTAACAACTTCATTATCCTGTGGTGTACCAAATAATAGGCGACCAAAATATTTTGCAACAGCTAATTTCTTTTGAAAATGCTGATCAATATGATCCCAAATATTTGCTTTCGGGTGTCGACTTAAATCAGGGAAATTTTTAAAAAATTTATGCTTTGATATATCTAAATTTGATAAATCAAAATCTGATTCATATAGAGTTGCTTGAACTAAGGGGAATCCCATGTACAGAAAGAGTAACAATATTATTGCAAAGAATACCTTAAAAGGATAAAATTAATTATAATATTGTAATAAATATAAATTAAAAATTACCTTAAAATTCAACATTTTTTATTTAATGTTATTTAAGGGTTTTAATATTTTTTTATTTTTTTTATATGGAAATTATTGTTAAATTATTCTCCTAACTTCTTCTAAATGTTTTTAACTACTAAATTATTTTTTATTAATGTACTTAATTCATATACTATTTGTACAAATTAAAAATAATTTTCATTTTCATTTTAATAAAAGCAACCGTAAAACACGAAAAAACCTGACCACTGTGTACATAATTTAATTAAAAAATTATTGTCGCAACTTTTATCCATATTATTGGCTATAACGGTTACTTGTCAAATATTTTAGAATATATACATATATTATATATGTTTTATAAATGCATGGTGGGTGTTTATATTATATTACTTAATTAAGAATTCATTGCACACACAATAAACCAAAGTTTTGAGTAAAATTTCATTTACTCATTCATTCATTTATTGCCAAAATACGAAATCATTGAGGTGATATTATTATTATAATTGTTATTTTGAATTCGGAAACAAAAGAAAGTGAAATAATAATAAAATTAATTTTCATGTATTACCTCCTATATATTATAATATAAGTGAATATATTATATACATTATTGTATAGGAAATATACCGATACTGTTATACGTATGTGTACCTGTACTATTTTGACCACGAATGGTTTTTGCTATCACACATGCATTTGTAAATAGGAAATTTTATAACAATGTCAATAAATATTACGTATGTATTTGGTGACATAATGATTTAATTTCTACACGTACAATATGAATGTATAACGTAAAAGTATGTTACAGAGTCTAGAAAATTACGTATAACGAGGCACGTGATTATTATGCTGAATACTTGCTGACTTCATAACAAATTATAATTATTATGTGCATTAAATTTTATTATTCTCAATTATTTTCATATATTTTTTTTGTTTGAGATTGTAGTTAATGTTTTTAATACTATGCACATACATTCATATACACAGTTATATGTATAACAATTAATTTGAAATCAATTTATAACAAATACATAATATTATAATTAATCGGTTACATAAGTTATTGAATATACCTGAATTGAATTTTTGACTGTAAATGACAGTTATTTATTGGATATTGTTATTGTGTTAATGTAAATTTTAACTACTGAACTAAATTTCAATTTATTTATGTTAAAAAAGACTTTTAATTTTATTTCTCTCTCTAGCATTGAATATAGTTCATTATACCTGTACAAAGGAATATTCGAAGGATGTTCTAAATTTACCAGTCCGTTTTTAACGCTAAAAAATAGATGTCCAACACGTAAACACAAGCATTTTTTTGTGTCATGATCAGTGTCGAATTTTGGGCTAATTCAGCAATGTCTGCCTGTCCGCTTGTTAGTACTGTGGCATCTCAAAAATAATTATTTAATTTAAGTTTAAACTACTTAATTTAGGGTTAAATCAAAGCAATAATTGGAATTGCCATACGCCTTTAAAAGAAATTAAAAAATATATCGGATTAAAAATTTAGTTGCGCTTGTTTAAGTCCTTCCTAAAGCTGTTATACAAAATATTAATATTTGATCTTATTTCGGGAACAGCAAAGCGTGTGGTATTCAAATGTTTTATAAATTAGTAGAATGGTAGCGCAACTCATTTTAATAAAATGTGATTGTTCCTATAATATCTGCCGTATGTTTATAAATAATTGGCATATAAACCATACAAATTGAAATATGTATGTTAAGCTTTCAAATAACTTTTCATTCGTACGAATATCTCAGAATTGACACGATCACCTTTTTTTTGCCTATTATCGACCGTATTGTGTATACAATAGGTAGGTTATGTGATGGCAACAAATTTTGCATATCCAGTTTTCGGTGGGAATGCACTTCTCCATAGTAGGGAGGTGTAAATAAAATATTTTTAGCAACCTGTCGGTCTGTCGGTCTGTCGGTCTGTATGTGCACGCGTGTATCTCAAGTTCTGCTGAATCGATTTTGATGAAATTTCATATGTATGTTTATTTCCACCATGGCACGGATCGATCAACTTTTGGGATATATCAGGCCTCGGGAACTGCACTTTTTAGCGGGCCTGTTTTACATTTTTGAACATTTTGAAGAAAATATTCAACCGATTTACTTGAAATTTCATATATGAGCTTTGCTCGACCGTCCGCGAAAATTCCTAACTTTTGGAACAAATCAGGCATCGGCAACTAGACGTTTACTACAGGCCAAAAATGCATTTTTGTGTATATAAGGAGAAATAATCAACCGATTTCATTGAAATGTAATATTTGAATTCCTCGTACTAAAACCATGAACATGTAAATTTTTGGAAAGATCAGGCATCGGCAACTAGACGTTTACTACGGGCCAAACATACACTTTTGTGTATATAAAGAGAAATAATCAACCGATTTTATTGAAATTTAATATATGAATTCCTCGTATTAAAACAATTTACATTTTTCACCATATCTACGGAACGAATTGATGGAATTTCTTGAAATTTGATATTTGAGTTCTGGTTGTTACCGAAACTAACTGGCGAGCATTTCAGGGAATTCGGGTAAAAACACAAAGCGAAACTCTATTAAGAGCCAAATTTACATTTTTCTAGGTATGTTAACTATAAGCTTACTAATGTCCTAGAAATTGGAAAGAAGTATTTAACAGACATTTTTATAATATTCTGTAACACTTTCACTTAATTAGACAATACACAATGCGGTTATGTGCTGACCACATCAGATTTTTTTTACTTTTGTTTTCAATACTCATTTTTTGCTGTACATTTTAAATTTTCAACTTCCTATATACATACATAATTATTAATTTCAAATTAGCAATTATCGAGCAGCACCCATATTCATAAGTCATACATGTTTATTATTAAAATCAATTAAATTGGTATTTATTAGTTAACACGACAGCTACTGGCACAATAGTAAATATTAAATTAATGTATTTTCGTAAGGTTATTATATCGTCGGTTAAAAAGCAGAAAGCACTAAGGGCATTTTTTGAGAATTCGGATTTCATAGATGAATTAAATCAGAATAATATAATCTTTGATGTGGCAAAAAATCATGCAAATCAAGAATGTAGTTTATAAATTTAGAAATTAAAGAGACCAATCCCATTGCACTAATTGATTAGTTTACGATTATGATTATTCAATTTTACGATTTTTTCAAATTGACTTTACTCAAAACACAGTTTCCTGACTTAATGCTTTCTGCTTTTTAACCGACGATATTTTGTACAGGAAAATATAAAAATGAAATAAATTATTTGAAATAATTTATTTTTTCAAGTAATTGCAAACTTGGTAAGCAAATGCATCGCGTAGAATAATAATGTCATGTTATGGGATTTTCCAAATTTCCTACAAAATGTTGAGGGCAATTAGAAAATTTTCATATCTTCAGGTGAGGCAGTTTATTAGAAAAAGATATTTATTTTAGAAACTATATCTTGAAAAAATTACAGACAAAGAAAATTAATTCAAAATGAGACAGTAAACGCTCAACAATTTCAGTTTTAGTAAAAACTCTAGTTATTTTTTTTTTACAGAAACGGAAGTGTTAAAGATATGGAAGCAACTATGAGCGCTCATTTCGTGTACGAATGGTAGTTATTTGCCATGTCTTCTTTTGCCTTTCTTATCCCTAGTGTATGTTTGCCTTTCTTTGCCCAAAACTAGTGTATGTACAGAGTGTTAGTTTAACAAAATATTAGATCACTGAATGAAATCAATATTTCTATACTAACGCAAGCATTTCGAAAGCTAGAGAACTGCCATTAAAATTTCTAAATTTAATTCCATTTATAAAGGGAATGATAAAAGCAAAAGCAGTAATTGGACATCAAACAGCAGGTAGTCAAAAAAATTGGATATAATAACATAAATATTTTTTTATTTTAAAAATGAACAACTATTAATTAAATGAAACAAATCGATGTCGGCGGCACGTTGCCGATTTCAAATATAATATTATATTGTGTAATTAATAAATTTAAGTAAAATATTAAAAAACCTAGTAACCTTCTATAGTTAAAATAATATCCAAAAATGTAAGCTTTGTCCTTAGTACAGATTCAACTTACAAAAACCGATTTCCTCGAAAAGTTTGTTGACAAGTTTCGTACATAAGCAGAAAAACTGACACTTAAAAAAATTGGTAAAATAGTTCATTTAATATGCTGATTCGAGTTCTTAGAACACTTTGCGATATTGTACTGCAAAGATTAATAACATTGAATTGTCGAACACAGTTTAAAATTTGAGAACTACGTTCAGCTTACGTACGAAATGTTACGTTTTTCTATCACGAAGTAATAAAATTTCGTTTAAAAAAACCGATACTTGATGCTGTCACATAATTATAACCTCCCTTATTATATGCAATAAGGTCAGTCAAAATGGTGGTTTGAATTTATTGAACAGCTCAATAGTTATCAAGATGGCGAAAATAATAAATCAAATAGGTAATAGGTATTCCCAAAATATTTCCAACTTTTTTGTACTGTCTAAAAGTTATCGGATTTCATAAGGACAAACCTCTTACTCTACAAGCCCTAAATTCAAATATAGAAAGTCAATTAAAATTCGTATTGCGTGGGAAGAAAATATTTTCTATATTTAGAAAATATAATTAAAATATTCAAACCAAAAGAATTTTTTTTCTTAAAATCTGTGTTTTTCTAAGTTATTTGTGCTCGTAAAAGTGACATTAAATATAAAAATTAATCTTTTTATTTTAAACCTAAATAATATCTTGTTATAATTATCACTCCATAATTATATTTTTCAATTAATTATTATCATTAATAGATGGATAAAATAATTGCAAATATTTCAAGTATTTTCACGTTATTATTCATGAAAAGAAATTTTAATATTCGAATCGCTAA